GCTGTGCTGGACACACCTGGGGCCGTGGGGTGATGGCCTGGGTCCGGTTGTGCTGGGCACACCTGAGGCTATGGGGTGACACCTGAGATCCGGCTGTGCTGGGCACACCTGGGGCAATGGGGTGACGGCCTGGGTCTGGCTGTGCTGGACAGGCCTGGGGCCGTGGGGTGACGGCTTGGGTCCGGCTGTGCTGAGCATGCCTGGGGCTTGGGCTGTGGAGCCTCTGGATGTGGAGGGGTGCTTCAAGCAGGGAGGTGTGCTTAGTGTGGCACTGTCACTTAGTTGTAGAGACCCTGGCCAGCCGCAGGGACACAGAGGCGCCTGGGAACCTGCGGAGGAGAGGTTCTGTCTAGCGCGAGCCCCACCTCCTGTCCCTCACGTGGCTGCTGTGCTGGCCTCGTTTGGCCCCGAGTCTGAGGAGGGGACAGAGGCTCCCTTTCCTACCCGACTACGGCAGGAGGGGCCTGCCAGTGGTGACCGGGCTGGCCAGGGAAGCCCGCGCAGGAGGGCCCTGGGGATCCCACGTCTGGCTCCACATCACGCAGGCAAGGAAACCGAGGCCCAGGGTGAGGGTCCGAGGCCGAGCCAGCCTCACACAGCACATGGAGGCAGAGCTGGGACTCTGTCCCAGGCCTGCCTCCCGATCTGGGCCCCTTTGGGTTTCTGTGCCTGCAGACATTGTAGGGGCCACTCCTGCGGGTGCTGCCTTTGCTGTGTGTCCAGCAGGGGTGTGGGGGGCAGGGCCAAAGCTGCGCCTGGCCCGGCCACCCTCAGTGACCCCCTCCATCCTTTTGAAGGGCCCTTCTTCGTTCTGTGTCCTGACCACCATGTGAGAGTGATGACGGGTCCCTGGGATTCAGGACTTGGCCCCCAGGCCCTCAGGCAGGCTTCAGGGGCTCCCCAGGGAGAGGCAGCCCCCGAAACAGACGCTTCACCGCCGAGCCCCAGCGCATCCTCCAAGGAGGTGGCAGTGGCAGCCGCCCCGGAACCTTTGATTCCGTTTCATCAGTAGGTACCGGCCTTTGCTGCTCTAGGAGCTGTCGGCCTCACTGAGACCCCCCAGGCCCGGGCCGTCTGGAGGTCAAGGGGGTGGACAGAGAATGGTGGGAGCCCCGGACAGACCTGGCCCTGGCCTCGTTTCTGCTGCTTCCCAGCTGTGTGGCCTCAGCAAGTCAGTCTACCTCTCTGGGCCTCTGGCCTGCCAGCTGCACGACGGGCCAAGAACATTCACCCAGCAGGGCTATCCTGGGTTCGATGGCACAGGAGGTGCAGCATGAGCTCTCACCAGGCACATCCAAAAAGCTTTTTAGGAAGTTACATAAAACGTGTGTACCCATAGTGAGGAGGCACACGGGACCCACAGGTAGAGCCAGGGGATGTGAGGACAGTTGACATGCAAGCTCCTGTTCACTTGCTGAAGCAGGGGGCATTAACTTGGCTTGGAGCTTCCTGGTAGCCAAAGCAAAGAAAGAACCTCAATCTCTTGATTTGCAGTGTCTCAAGTGACAGGCTGTGGCTTGACTTCTCTCATTACTGAGACCCAAGAGGATCTTCTGCTAAGAATCCTCCCTGTGTGCTGTGGCCAGTGCTGTCCCAACAGCGGACGCTGAGTGTGTTCTTCTGTCATCTGGAAAGAGGGACTGTCAGTCATCTAGTCCAGTTTCCTTTATTTTTCTGGCTGAAGGAACTCAGGCCCAGAGACAGGAGTGATCTCTCCAGGTTATCTGGCAAAGTTGCAGTGGCACCAGGATTTGAATCCAGGCCTCCAGAGCCCCAGGCTGGGGTCTCCCTCACCCCTCACTGCAGAGCTGGGGAAGGGCAGATGCTTTGGGGGTCTGCAGGGCTCCAGGTTCACAGGGGAAGTTGTGTTTCCAGAATGAGGCCCCTAGGCTGAGGGGCGTGGGGCTCCCTGGAAGCAGTGTCACACACACTGAGCCTGAAGGCCACACACCTGGGCTGGCGTGTGTGTGTGTGTGCACGTGCACATGTGTGTGTCGGGGGAGGGGAGGGACCTGCTCAGGGTGCTTGGGGCTGCTGACCTGTCCAGTCTCTGCACAGAATGTATCTGCCCCGCATCTGGAATCCCACAGCAAAGACCTCCCTCTCCTGGCTCCAGGTGGGCTCTGAGGGTCCCCCAGGACCCCATCGACGACTTCATGGGTGGCCCTGCGACGCCTGACAACCCATGGATGGGTAAGTGTTTCCACGGGCCTCTCTTTCCCGGGGAAGGTGTGTGCCAGGGTGCGGCACCAACATTTTGGAAGCTGCCCTAAATCCTCCCAAGCCAGGGTGATAGCTATTAGGTGGTGCAAAAGTGTTTGCGGTTTTTGTTATGACCTTCGATGGCAAAAACCTCAGTTACTTTTGAACCAGCCTAATCTTCTCCAGCCTGTAAGGTCATAACTGACACTCAGGAAGCTCTGCGTGGGGGGCTGATGCCGCCTCACAGGATGCTCAGGGAAGCTGCTCCAGGGCCCCTGGCCACTGTCTCCAAAGAGCTCCCAAAGGTCACCTCTCAGACAGGGCAACACGACAGTCTCAGACTCGATCCTCCTGTCACCGCGTGAAACACCTGGAAGGCCCTGGGCCGAAGTGGGCTGGCGCCGGCTGAATTTGCCACGCGCGCTGACAGAGGACCGTGACTGCGTCCTCTGTGAAACGCTGGCACTGCCAGCAGCCCTTTTGCTTGGATGCCAGGTCCAGCGCTTTTTGTTCTGTGCCAAGCTGCCAGTGCCTGGGTGGCCGGTGCACCTGTCAGGGGGACAGAGCCCCATGCCGAGCGGGGTGGGGAGGAGGTGGGGCTGGGGGTTGTGGCTGCAGAAGGAAAGGAGGAAAGAGCCCCCACCTTGGAGGCTGATGGTTGAGCCTCGTTTATCAACATCTCCGAGCCTCCATTTTTCTCATCTTCAACCGAGGGATCAAAACACTCCTGGTTGGGTGCAGTGGCTCACGCTTATAATCCCAGCGCTTTGAGAGGCCGAGGCGGGGAGATCACCAAAGGTCAGGAGTTTGAGACCAGCCTGGCCAACATGGTGAAACCTTGTCTCTATTAAAAATACAAAAATTAACTGGGTGTGAGGCAGGAGAATTGCTTGAACCTGGGAGGCAGAGGTTGTAGTGAGCCGAGATTGTGCCACTGCACTCCAGCCTGGGCAACAAGAGTGAAACTCCCTCTCAAAAAGAAACAACCCACCCCCTCTGAGGACCACGGAGACCTCCCCTCCTTCCCTGCAGAGGCCAGGCTCACTACAAACCTCCTTGAGGCCAAAAGACGAATTCCCCAGGGTCCAGAGTCGCTGGCCGACATCGGCCCTGTCTGCCTCCTCTGGCCCCTTATGGTCTCCCTGGCACTCACCATGTGGCCTTCCTCCGCAGCTACGGGGCTGGCCTCGGCATTGGCAGATTTCCAGGGCTCGGGGCCTGAAGAGATGACCTTCCAAAGAGGCGACCTCATCGAGATCCTCGGGGCACAGGTGCCCAGCCTGCCCTGGTGCGTGGGCCGACACGCAGCCTCGGGCCAGGTGGGGTTTGTGCCCAGCAGCCTCGTCAGCCTGCAGGGCCCAGTGTCCGAGTGAGTGGCGGGAGCCCCTCCCCTTCCTGAACCCACCCCATCGCACCTAAGGGGATATTGCTGCTGTCCACCTGGCTTCCCGGTTCACAAGCCTGGAAGTCATTGTGGACGACCCCTAGTCCCTTCCCTCGTCCGCAGGCTGCTGCCCCCTTGGCCCCAGTGCCTGGCCCCAGGTCCCCTGGTGTCCTTCCTCTGGGCTGCTGCAGGGAGAGCATTCTCTTGAACGCACACCTGCCCATGTGCTTTATCTTCCCATGGCCACCATGATAAGGTGCTGCACACCCAAGGCTTCAAGCAACAGAAATGTGCTCGTTCAGAGTTCTAGAGGCCAGAAGTCTGAAGCCAAGTGCCAGCAGGGCCACATTTCCTCGGAGACTTGAGGGGAGGGTCCTTCTTGCCTCTTCCAGCTCCTGGCTGCCCCGGGCATTCCTTGGCTTGTGGCCGCATCCCTGCACTCTGCCTCTGTCTCCGCGTGGCTGTCTTCCTCTGTGTCTATTCTAAGGGTGCCCATCTCCCAGGGCCCATGCAACTCCAGCCTCACCTCATCTTAGCTGAACTAATTACATCTACAAAGATCCCTTTTCCAGAAAACCTTACCTTCTGAGGTTCCAAGAGGCATGAATGGAAGGACGCAATTTAATCCAGTACACACGTCAGTCGCTCTCCTCCGTAAAGCCCCGAATAGCTTCTGGGTCCAGCCTCACAGGCCCCCATGGCCAGGTTAGGCCTTGCCATCAGCTCACTCGGGTGCAGCTGTGCAGAGTAGCTTGCACCTTCTAAAACTGCTCTGGGTGACACGTGTGTCCTTCTGCCTGGGCTTGCCCCTCTCACCAACCCACCTGTTCTCCTGGGGCCCCCCATCAGCCCCCATGGCTCCTCTGTGGGGGCACTCTTCTGGCCATATGCCTCTTCCTATGTGATTCCCACCCTGCCTGTGACCAGGCTTCCCCAGCCAGGGAACTCCAAAAGATTTCCTCACTCACTTCTGTGTCCTCACTGCCCGGTGCGGGCAACAGCAGGGGATCTTTGGAGAGGGGTCAGCTGTGCCCATCCTTTGATGGGATTTGGTTTCCCTGGACTTGACCTTCTTAAGGCCTCAGTCAAGGAGCCCGGAGAATGTGGGTGCATGGAGAGGCCACTTTCTGGGTCATGTGACCCTGGTCCTGGCCCCACCAATGAGAAGCTTGTCTTCAATGTTCCTTTTCAATGTTTGGAGCTGCGACAGACCAACATCTCTCAGACGAGGTCTCGGAGGCCATTGGTCACCATGCCTCATCAAGCCATTCATTTGTTCCCCTGTTGGAAAGGGTCTGTTTGCTCTGGTAACTCTGGCACCTGTGCATCACAAGCAGCTGGAAGCTGGCTGGGCCATGTGCTGATGTCAGGAGCTAGACCAGCAGTTCTCGAAGCATGTTCCCATCCACCACTCCATCAGACCACATCATGCCCTAAGGAGGGGGCAAAGCTTTGTCCACATCCCTTGAGGGTGATCCCAGGGACTCCCAGCACAAGCAAGGCATCTTTTTCCTTGTTGAAATGCCTTTTCCACACTTACTTAACCTCCAGAATCCTCTTCTCACACAACCCTGTTTGCTTTTGGCTGAGCTGGTGTTCCACGGAGCACTCTTTGGGGATCCTTGGTCTAGCTGACTCCTACCATCTCCAAGGGAGACCCAACTTCTCAACAGGTTACTGGGGGCCGTGTGAAGACAACATGTACTGAACTTACAAAGGGTCAGAGAAGAGCCGGGGAATGAGCCAGTTTGTTCCCTTCCTCGTTTAACCCAGAAGGATGACGGGGCCGGGTGCCTTTGGTCCTGTTCACAGCTGGAGCAGCTCTGACTTCTCTCATCCACTCAACAAATGTTTGCTGAATATATTTCCTATTCCAGACCCTGGGTTTTCATCTTTTGTTTAATGAACAGCTTGGTGGCTCTTCTTTTATTTTTCTTTAACTTTATTTTTGACATAATTTCAGACTTAGATGAAACTTGCAAAAACAATGTAACCTTCCCGTGTGCCCTAGCCCAGGTTGCACAAATGTTAACATGTTATGACATTTGCTTTGTTGCTTTCTTTTTGTTACACTTCTATCTTTTTCTAAATCCTTTGAGAGTAAGTTGTAAGCATGATGTTCCTTTACCCTTAAACAAGGCAGTATGTGGTTCCTGAAACCAGGACATCTGCTTACGTAACCACAGCGCAGCTGTCAACACCAGGAAGTGAACACTGATTCAGTGCTGTTATCTACAGATCTTATTCAGATTTTACCAGTTGTCACAATGACGCCCTTTATAGACAATGAAAATCTCAGCCCATGTGTTCTATTCAGATATCCTGTATCCTCCTTAATACGAAACAGCTTTTCAGCCTTTCTGTGAGGTTTTTAAAGATATAGGCCTGTGATTTTGCAGAATGTGCTATAAGCTTCTCTAAGTTTTTTTTTTTTAAATCTCAATAAGGTGCATTTCAAAGTTTCATATTTCACTGGTGATTTAGTCATATGAGCAAAAATTGCCCCCTTTCTTCCTCCCTCTCTCCCTCTCTCCTCTCTCTGTTCCTTCCTGTAGTTCCTGTCCCTGACTTTATGGGAGTACCCTGAGTTTATGCTGGGCACTCTGGGGAGCGCTGGCAGAGGCCGTGCAAGAAGCAGTGGGAGTTTACAATGTGGAGAGATTGGGCTGGTTCTGCCTGCAGCTGTCACAGGGGGCTTCATAAGGGAGGGGACATTTGGGATGGGGCTTTGAAGGCTGACTAGGAGCTCACTGTCCTAAGACGCCAGTACTTGTTTGCATCTGTTGCAGCCTTTCCTCCTTCTGGGATTCATGCACGTATACGTGTGTGCACCCCTGACCAGACAAGGCACCCCTCGAGGGCGGGATCTGGTTTTTTTGTTTGTTTGTTTTTGATGGAATCTTACGCTGTTGCCCAGGGTGGAGTGCAGTGGCACAATCTCAGCTCACTGTAACCTCTTTTTCCTGGGTTCAAGTGATTCTCCTGCCTCAGCCTCCCGAGCAGCTGGGATTACAGGCTCATGCCACCACACCCGGCTAATTTTTGTATTTTTATAGAGACGGGGTTTCACCATGTCAGCCAGGCTGGTCTTGAACCCCTGCCTCAAGGGATCCGCCCGCCTGGGCCTCCCAGTTCTGGGATTACAGGCCTGAGCCACCGCAGCCAGCCTTTACGTTGTTTTTGTTGTTGTTTTTGAATCTCTGTCTCCACCCGGGGCAGAGAGTGGTGCTGCAGGACTGTGTCAAATCAAGGAATGGAAACGGGTGTTAGTGTGAAACGCTGACTTTGGAAATATGTCATTTTAAATAAAGCACTTCATTTTTTCCAGGTTGGAAAGTGCGATTTTCCTCAGTGAGGAAGAAAAGTCATTCTTCAGCAAGGGCCGCTTTTCTGAGGAGGATGCCAGGCAGTTGCTGGGGCAGATGTCGGGCACTGATGTGTACACGGTGTACAGCCTGGGTGCGTGTGGGCAATGCCCATGGCAGGGCTCCTGCCCTCCCCTTCCCCTCCACAGCGCCCGCTTCCTTCGTCCATCTGCAGATAGTGAGTGCCAGCCCCTGGGCGCCGAAAGGTGAACAGACAGAGGCTGCGCTGCCTCCAGGGCACGAAGGGGCTGCAGACAAGCCAGGCAGGAGAGAGGTGGGGTGGGCGGCTGGGGGCGCGGGAATGCAGCCCTGAGGCCCTGGTGGGCATCAGGAAGCCCTTCCTGCCCTGGCCTCAGGCACCTGCCTGAGACTGGGGTGAGGCAGAGGGTGTGGGCCTGGTTCTAATTTGCCAGTCCTGAGGACTTCTGTTCAGGCCCAGCCCTCTGCCTACTGCACTTTGCCTGAATGAGAGTGACTTTTCTCCGCCTCACAAGACAAAGAACCCAGGTTGTGGTGTGGCCTGGTCACCTGGCTGCCGGGAGTGTCAGGGTGGGACCCCAGGGCCGCCAACCTCCTAAGGACAGAGATAGTCCCTCTGACCCCAGTGCCCCTCTGTGTGTGAAAGGTTTCCCTGGGGGCTGTGGTGCAATGCATAGATGAAGGTGACCTGGGTGTGGATAAACACAAACGTGCCTCACACCTCCTTTTTTTTTTTTGGAAAAGGGCCTTGCTCTGTTGCCCAGGTGGAGTGCAGTGGCATGATCTTGGCTCGCTAAAACCTCTGCCTCCCGGGTTCGAGCGATTCTTGTGTCTCAGCCTCCCGAGTAGCTGGAACTAGAGCCGTGCACCGCCACACCCGGCTAAGTTTTGTATTTTTTGTAGAAACGGGTTTCACCATGCTGGCCAGGCTACTGTCGAACTCCTGACCTCAGGTGATCTGCCAACCTCAGCCTCCCAAAGTGCTGGGATTACGGGTGTGAGCCATCGCGCCTGACAGCTACACACCTACTTGTGTACCTATGTACGCACGTACACACATAGACATGAACATACAAATACACATGTACATACACACTGTGTGCATGTACACACACACCTACACATGCACATGCACACGCGCCTCATGCATACACGTGTGCACATGTGCCTGCACAGGTGTACACGTACACGTGCATGAACCCCACACACATATAAACAGATACGTTTCTACACACTTGTTTTCCCGCTTGCTCAGTGACATGCATTGCAAGACCTGTTTTTCCCAACAATATTAGAGTTAAAATTTTTAGACCCGGTAAATCAACTTCCCTTCCTAAATGGACAAACTTAGACTTGACCTTAGCACATCAAGGCTCAGAGGTCCCTGATGCTGTCTCCTGTCCTTTTAGGAAGCAGGCTTGGGACCCTCCATTCTATGCAGGTGCAGGCGTTGTGGGTGAGGTATTGCAGGTGTCCTGGGTGGGGGTGTTGCAGGGTGCAGGTGCTCTGGGTGGGGGCTTTGCAGGGTGCAGATGCCCTGGGTGGGGGCGTTGCAGGGTGCAGGTGCC